CGCATTTTTTTTTGCCGTTCTCTGCTATAGTAGAATGTTTTTTCTCCGCGTCAAAGCGTTCTTCATCTGAATAGCAAATGTTCTGGCCTATTTCATTAACTAATGGAATGATGTTTTTATGATCTTCTCTGTGGAAAGGTATGGATCGAATTCTTTCCCAATGAGATGACTTTTTTTGATGCTTCTAAAGAATCGCCCGAGAACAGATTCTTCGAATCAATGAATTCATTCCATACGATTCAACATCACTCTTACAAAGACAAGAATGTCTTCTCTTTCATTCTCCATATAGTATAATGCTTTTTTCGTCAGTTGAAAAAACTGATTTTTGAAAAATAGAATGTATTTTTGATCGTTCCATAAGCTGAATAAAAGTATTCGATGGCATCGAGAAAGAATATTGATTACTTTAGATTACAGCCTTTAGTTTTCTCACATATACGAATTTTTTTAAAATTTTTTCTTGATTGAAACCTATCTCCATGATCTCTAACCGTCTTTTATGAGTGTCTATTTTCATGCATGAGCTTTTATCTATTGAAATCGAGAAATTCCTATTTTCCGTATGATGACAAAAAACAATAAAAGAAAAGCATTAGCGGCACTTGCATATTAAGATCAATTACAACTACTATAATAGACTCTGTAATAATTTACAATAGATAGAAAAAGAAATAAAAGAGACAAGCACGGATAAACGTAGACTTGTATGATTAGAAATTATATTATCGTTATAATTGAAGATAGCTGTCATAACCATGGATGCTAATCTATCTTAATGATTCCTTAAAATAAATGTTTAAAGGCGAATAAGTTATTTTTTTTTTTTGTAAAATAAAGAAAAATATAAAATTAACTGAAGAAAAACAAAAAACTTGCTTTTTTATTATTGAGGAAATACATACAAGAACAGAAAATATAAAGCAAAGTGCTTGCAGCTTATCTTTAATCAACAGTAATATGATCTCAAAACTGCATTTTTACAGAATATTTGTCATGAAAACTTTTCATTTTCTTTTTTTAACTTGATTATTTGCTTAATTATGTAAAAACTAAATTAACGCCTTAATCATAATTACCTTTCTGCAAAATGTAAATCCAAACAAATGAAGAAAATAAAAAGTTACACAATCCTGCAAAAATTTATAGAATCATTGTAACGGAAAATACTTCTAATCGATGAATATAAGTCTTGAGAGGAGAAATGGTGCAAAACGTTCGGACAGCAGCGAAACGTAATGGTTTATTGAATAATAAGAAGAAGAAAAAGTAACAATAAATGTATTGAGTACACACAGCAAAAATACACACTAGATTCTGTTCGTATACATATAACTTCTTTATATGTACTTCAGGTTCAAACTCTATTCCGTTTTCGAGTCTCAGTTCAGAATAACTTCTAAGAACGTACGTTACAATAGTTTCGAGTACGTCTTACTCTAACTGGACACAACTATCAACTGCCTGTATCAGAATATCTGATAGAGAAAAAAGAAAAAGGGGAGAGAAAGAGAACGAGAGAGAAATACGGAGAAAAATCCAAGGAGAAAGAATGTATACCGAGAGGAAAGAAAACAGGAAGTAGGGGAGAAAAGATCACGTAGTACTGAAATAGATAAAAGGAGTGTCGTTCGAAAGGATGTCCGTCTATTTTCTTGGCACAATCATCTTTCTGTAACAGAAAAAAAGTAATCTGTTACACTAAAGATACCCTCAAACGGAAGACATCATATATCTTCCGGTATTAGATAAAAAACAAAATTTTTCCTAATTAGAACTTCTTGAATTTAAATGAGATACGTATAACCCTGCTAAATAAAAACAAGAATGTTGTCACTATCATGCGCTTTATAGAAAACAATGGTACCTCCTTGTAAGTTAGATGAAAAAAAAGTATTCTCATTAACATATACTTCACATAAAACGATAATATCTCTTTACAAAAACGATGAGAAGAAAAGAAAATATTGTGACTAACATGCGCTTTAATTGTAGCGAAGATATACCGGGTGTCCCAAAAGTCATGTTTACTTAAGAAAATTGAATATCTCCATTACGGCTCGAGCAAACGTGCTGATTTTTTTATCAGTGATAAAGGCATGCACCAAGTTTATATCCATAAAGACATGTCTAGGGAGACCCTTTGTTAAGTATCAATATTGACCTCAACAAGAAAAATTTACTTTTTCACAGTTAGAAAAAAAAGTTATTTTGCCAAAAAAATTGAATATCTCCGCTACGGCTCGAGCTAACGAGCAGATTTTTTTACCAATGATAAAGGCATGTTAAAGCTTTATATTCATAAAGACATGCCTAGAGAGATCATTTGTTAAGTATATTGTTTTCTATTCGATCTACGAAAAAGTAAAATTATTTTGTTGAGGTCATTAGTGGTACTTTATAACGGCTCTCTCTAATCTTGTCCGTATGGATTTAAAATGTGAACATGCTTCTATTATTGGTAAAAAAATTGGCTCGTTTGCTCGAGCCGTAGCGGAGATATTTAATTTTTTTTTGGTATCGTGATTTTTGGACTATATACAGGGTGACCCAAAAATTAGTTTGCCAAAATAAAAATTGAATATCTCCATTACGACTAGAGCAAACGAGCTGATTTTTTTACCAATAATAGAGGCATGTTCAGGCTTCATATCCATAAAGACATGCCGAGAGAAATCCTCCGTTAAGTATACTGCTTTTTTTTCTATCTGTGAAAAAGTACATCTTTCTCATTGAGGTCAATAGTGATATTTAACAAAGGGTCTCCCTAGACATGTCTTTATGGATATAAACTTGGCACATGCTTCTATCACTGATAAAAAAATCAGCACGTTTACTCGAGCCGTAATAGAGATATTCAATTTTCTTAAGTGAACATGACTTTTGGGACACCCGGTATATTCGTAGATCAAGGAAAAAAATAATCCATTACACTAGAGATTAGGAAGGGTCAATTCCGATTACTAAAAAAACTGTAGTCTACCAATTCCAATACGATTGTTCAGGCCATTCGCTTTCAATTTCGATCTTTTGTATCTAAAAACACACTTAAGTATCCTCTACCGAATGGAATATAAACGAAAAATTTTCATTGTTATTTATGTCCTTAAAAATAACCAACTTTGGAGATCTCCTACACAAAAAAAATACATTCTACAGCACTTTCTTCTAGTAAATGAGCAACACTATTATAGTTATTTCATCATCAAAATGTGTTATATGGGTCAGGGATACATCATCCTAGTCATGTTGCAAGTACATTAATTTATTGCTATGCATGATAAAATAAAAAACACTAAATATCGAAAAAATATCGTATTTCGTTGTTTTGTATTTTTCTTGAAATCAATTTTTTTAGAGAAAAATTGAAGCTTTTCTCCATTTTTTTCTAGACGCTTCGACTGAGTGAGCTGAATTTTTTTGTGTAACAACTAGGATCAAATGGGGGTGTATATGTTTTTTTTTCTTGAAACAATGCTCTGGTGACTTTTGACAGACCTTACAAAATTTGTCCTAGGCAAAAAAAAACATCTTTTTTTGATAGGGCTACCAGTATTTTGATGCTCCCAAGCGAAGGAAAAGATACAACTCGATTTGGTCCTCGTTGTCACGCAAAAAATTTCAGCTCAATTGGTCGAAGCATCTCTGAGAAAAATAAGGAAAACTTCAGGTCATTTTTGACCCTTGTACTCCCTATATCGCATAGAAGAAAGCATCTAGAATTTCTGGGTCTCTGACAACTTTTGTTCTACTATTCGAGATCTACCTACCCTGAAAGTTTCAGAATTTTTGGTCGAGCTGTTCTTGAGAAATCCGGGAAAGGAGTACCCTTAAACAAATAAGTCCGATTCGAATCCAGTTCCAATTCCAAGTTAAAAAAAAATGTTGCAGTTCGAAGTATTTTCCTGAAAGGCGACAAAATTTTTCTTTACTTTCTGACAAATGATTAAATTAATCGTTTCAAATTTTATTTGAACAGCATCTAAAGAACAGCACCATTTCTTCTCAAGAAAAGACACATTTCGACCAAAGGATTAATACAGAGTGCCAGAAAAATCTCTGATCAAAAAAGAACTTGAATATCTCCGTTGCAACTCTTTTGGATAAATTAATTTCTATACTCATGTTGAGGGGTATTTCCAAATTTTTATTTATGAATGTCAAATTTTCACATACTCCTAGAAAGTAGCACTTTTAAAGTCTTTTTCGAATTGCAAAAAGTAATCTGTAGGAGTTTTTCCTGAGTTTTTTCAATTTTGTTTCAAGGGTGTAGGTGTAGATGCGAGTGTAGCTGTGCCTGTGAATAGAGTCTCTATCCGCTCACTCCCACACGCACGTCCTACACCTGCTTTCACACCTTACACTCACCCACACCCAGGTCCCATATCCATTTCTTGTCAGAGAAGGATATAAATTGACAGTAAGTTTTGACCTGTATTTTTATATCGTTGAATCCGATAAATCTCATCAATTAATCGCATAAAACATTCTAATCAACTGATCTGAAATAGATACGCTGATATCATATCTGAATCCATCGCTTAGAATTGGTTTATCAGCCGTCGAGACACTAGACATTCATGTAATAAACTAACATTTTGATGAACTCGATCCATCTCGATGTGTTCAAATCGAACAACTAAACGAATCTCGCACCACAACTGTGACAATTGATCGGTACATATGGTCTCTTTAGGCACTTTTCTACTAACTCTCTCTAGTTTTGTTCATGATTCCATGCATGGAAAGTTAGTTGATAGTCAACAAGAACAAGGAACATGAACACCATGCTTAGTTCGATACTTTCTGACATTGAAAATCTACAATTCAACGAAAATTATTATATATTTTCTCAGTCCATTCTTGATCAATGTACACAACGGTTCTTCTAATCATAGTGACAACTACTCGAAATCGATCAAAAGGACAGAGAACGAAGTGATACGAAAACTATCTGTGATAAAAATTTAAATAGAAGTCAATACAAAATAGGATATCAATTATGATTGAGCTGAATTTGTCGATGAAGATTGATTATTCGAATATGTTGAAGAAAGAACTAACTTGTTATAATCAGCATAATGTCTTTCGAGGTCTTCCCGAGTGAGACCAAAATCAGCAAGAGAATATTCATGTCGATCTTGTTTGCCTTGAGGATTTTCGAGAAACCAATTGCACATAGCTATTTCCATCTCATCCGACCAATGAAGATTGAAATGATCATAGATTTGCTGAACAACACCAATTGGATCTTCCATTAAATTATCGTAAGAAACATCGAAAATATATTTTGCGTTTTCTTAAGTGTATCACTTTGTAAATTTCTAAATTTCATTATATAGTCGTTTCTTGTATCAAAGAATTGATAGCATCGTTTTATTATTCTATTTCGAGAGATCGAGTTTGTTTTGTCAAAATACCAGTCTGCAGCTGTCAAGAACAAGTTATACATTGAAGGAAGAACTTCATCGAGATTCCGATGAGTTATAATTAATCATGCATTTGGATAATGTTCAAGAAATTTATCGAGACAAAAAATATGGAACAGTGACTTTAATAACCAATTGAATTTTGGCATATCAACACTATTTAACATGCCCAAAAAATTTCATGATAATCATATGCATAATCGTTGCTTATTTCATTACGAATCCAATTCTCAGTATCGTCATCTTCGTTGTGAGATAGAAGGGTGAGCATTGGAGAATAGCCAGCTTGACGTGTAATATAAGAATCTTCTTCAATTGGGAAATGTGCATGAGATGCAGAAATGCGAATGAGTAAATCGGATAATTGATCACTGTTCATTTGAGAAATAAAAATATCCATTCGTCGGTTTTGTCCAATTGAATTGGATCGCGCTATAGGCGGAACAACATCAATGTACATATCAGTGTACAATGGTGCGCGAGATTGTGGATCACAGGCAAGTAAATTGTAGAGTAATGTTGTACCTGTACGTACAAGACCACAAACTAGCAATGGGCCAATAATAGGTAAATTTTGATCGACAAATTTATTGTGTTCAATTGCATAATTTAAAACATGTTTACAACTTGTGTGTAAATTTTGCAATTCGGAGAGAAAAAAATTTCAATCCACAGGTGTTATATGTTCGTTACGAAGTACACTTTGGCGATATTATTCAAACATTCAAAATATATCACTGTGATAAGGAAAATGCTTTTTGGCTTGTTCAGTTAAATCATCTTCGTGTAGAATAGTATCATTCGATGTTATTGAATGATCATTATTAGTTTGATCTGATGATGTCGTACTCATTGGATTTCAGTAGTAATATTTTTTTTGTAAAGACTTACAAATGAATCTTGTTTACTTGGTTTATCTAAAAGCAATGATCCATAGATTAATATTAAAAGATGTCGACATCCATTAGATAGCATTCAAGTATCAGAATACAAGGATCTGAGTGGAAACATCCAATTAGAATTTCAATAGATGTACTCAGACCAATAAAAGATGTTGCATAAATAATGTATACTAAACTTTGACCCGTGTAATCAATATTGTTTGCTCTAGATGTTTTGCTAGTGGAGAAGGCTGACATTAGCAATATATATATATGCTAGACATCTGAATATATCATGCATCATAATGTGAGTTTTCTGACTATTATTCATAGAAATATTTTAATATGTCACAGAAAATTTTGAATCAGTGCTGGTCAGAAGTTCCGGCATGTGTGGGAGATCAGCTGAAATCAAATCATTTTTCACGAAATTAGTACCAGACATACAGTTCGTAGAATCATTATCGTAAGCACCGACTAAGAATGGATTTACAAGTTAAACATTATTCTGAACTTGGTTAGCCTCAGTCTTTATATTCAAAGTATTCAGTGAAGACTCCTGTTGAATACAAAGACTGAAGCAACCAAGTTCAGAATAACGTATGACTTGTAAATTCATTCTTAGTTAGTCGATCGAGTTCGAGTTGATGCTTGCAATGATAGTTTTCAGAGCTGTATCTCTGGTGTCAATTTTGTAGAAACCAATTTGACGTCAGCTGAACTTCCACACAGACCGAGACTTCTAACCAGTATTGTGATTCAAAATTTTCTGTAACACGTTATGATATTTGTATCAATAATAGTTAAAAAGTTTATATTATGGCCCATGACAGGGTGTGGGTGTGGGTGGGTGTGAGCAATTGAGAATATTCACATCCATATGCCACGCACACCCGCATGCGCAACCACGCTTGAAACCATTTCGCATCGCTATATGCACACCCAGACGCACACTCGAAGACTCAAAAAGGTGCTGACATGTTTCATAATTAGTGAGTTACAAATGCACATTGCCACTATTTGTAAGTAAAGTTTAGTTGCTGATCTTTATTTAATATTATCAGAAAGGAAAAGTTATGCATCGAAAAGTTTTTTTGATTTTCTGAACATAGTTTCTTTTAGTTTATAATTTGTTTAAAACCAGTATGTCTGCTGCAGTGACAGACTTTTGAAAAACTGCTCCGCCTTCATCCCATCGTACAATAACAGCGCCAGTTGCTCAATCAACCGATTTGACGATTACTGTTCGTTTTCCTCCACCGCTACGTCGCACCTTGACTGTCATTCCTGGCTTGATCTTCATGGCTGCTTCCCTTGCAGTATATGACA